ACTCCCGGGAACGTATGTGAGCATATTTGTACACCGCTAGCATTTATTCTGTTTGTCTGCCTGAGTTTAAGTGCGTGTCTGAAATACATCCTACTCAAACGTACGTGTGTGCGAGAGAGAGAGTGTGTCTCTGGTGATGTGTGTGTGTGTGTGTGTGATAGACAGGCTGTTATACATATGAACACACGTCTGCCTGAGGCTCATGCAACATGCATGATTTCCATTTGAACCACAAGACAGGTGCTCCGATAGCGTTATACAAATATATTTTTGCATCTTTTAAAGAAAATGTGAGTGATGTTTGCCTGTGCAAAACTCACCAGCATGATGCAAGGGCATTCTGGGTGATTTATCTCGTCTCTGTGATCTTCTGGTCTGTAGATATGACTTGGGTTCCTCCTTTAATGTGCATCAGTGGGATTTTTAACCTGTTTTATGGTTGAAAACGGTGCATCTGATCACTCAAAGTGTCTGTAATAGAAGTAAAACAACATGCTGAAGTTTAATAAAACTTAAAATCTCTAACATCAAGTGTGAGAAATTGACTTTGCAAACACTAATTATTTAACATCTAAGTGTAATCCATTAGTAAAGGTAAGGTAGGCGCTTGGACACTAAAGATAAACCATTAGTGTTGTTCAATAAAGCATGCATTTGCATCTATAAGGCACAGAAGCGTGTTTGTTCCACATGAACCAGCGATCTATATGAGATCATGAGGAAGTTCAGAATGACTCAAAACGACTGCTGATATAAACAGATGCTACATTCACATTAAACAGCAGATATCTGTCCTCGTTGCAAAAAAATAAATCAGTTATTATACACTGCAGTCATTATGGAAAAACATCCGGTAGAATTACTTCTACACTACTGTTCAAAGGTTTGTTTGGTACGATTTTTTTATTATGTTCTTCTGCTCATCAAGGCTGAATTTATTTGATCAAAAATGCAATAAAACAGTGAAATATTATTAGAATTTAAAATAAGAGTTTTCTATGTGAATCTCTGTTAAACTGTAATTTATTTCTGTGATGCGCAGCTATATTTTCAGCATCATTACTCCAGTCTTCAGTGTCACATGATCTTCAGAAATCATTCTAATATGCTGATTTGCTGCTCAAGAAACATTTCTGATTATTATCAATGTTGAAAACAGTCGTGCTGCACAATATTTTTGTGGAAACTGTGATACATTTTATTTTTCAGGAATCACAGATGAATAGAAAGTTCAAAAGAACAGCGGAATCGTTTGTAACATTCTAAATGTCTTCACTGTCACTTTTGATCAATTTAATGCATGCTTGATGAATAAAAGTATCAATTTCTAGATAGTGTACAGAGGGCCGAAAAGTATTTGTATACTTCAATCATACTTATAAATTGCATTAGATACAAAATATCAAAGCAAGTGTGATTTCTTGCAAACACTTTACAAGCAAAATGTTTAAAACACAATAGATCTTGTGTTCAAAATGATTTGTGGTTGTCACAAACCTCTAAAAATCACCAATATACCAAATTATTAAAAGTTCTTGAGCAAAAAGTATGGTAGAAACAAGCAGCATTTGACACACAAATACAGACATCTGATCACATTCATATTTAGAAGAGCAATACATCAAGAGAAAGGCCACCGCACCGATGTCGTGTTTGCTTTCAACTACATCCAAAATGCGTCTCCAGAAAGCCATAGAGCTGTGTCTCGGCTCCAAACAAGCTCCTTGCCAAAGATCACAGAGCTTTGCAGCCCATCTGCGCAGTCTTGTGTCCTGGGACGAGGTCTGGTTTATGGAGCGCTCTGCTTGTGTCCTTTACGAGGAACAGAAAACAGTGTCGTTTCTCTCAGTGAAGACCTGCCGGAGCTTCAGATGTGTTTGGTGTATTTAGAGGCCCAGGGTGACGTTAGCCCACTTTCTTACCCTCCACTAAACACTGGCAGCGGCTCAGAAAGGCCTCAGACGCTTTTAAGGCTCGAGATCATTTGTTGTTGCTTCAGGTCACTGTTAGCAGAGAGACTATAACTGATGATCGCTCAGGTGTGCATGAGAGCAGTCGAACCCCGCTGCATCCTGAAATAGATTTGGGTCCCACTTTATATTAAGTGGCCTTAACTACTAAGTACTTACATAAAAAAATAAGTACAATGTACTTATTGTGTTCATATTGTATTGCAAAACACTTTTGCTGCTATTGAGGTGGGATGTGGGTAAGGTTAGGGACAGATTTAAGGGTGGATCGACAGTGTAATTATAAATGTAATTACAGAAATTAATTACAGATGTAATTACATGCAGGTATTTTTAAAATATAAGTACAACGTAAAAACAGGTATGTACACAATAAGTGCATTGTACCAAATTATTAATTTAAATGTAAGTACATAGTAGTTAAAGGCCACTTAATATAAATTGGGACCTAGATTTGAAATGTATTTCAGTCTGGGGTATTTTTTTTTTTACTTTTATTCATCAAGGATGCATTAAATTGATCATGTGTCAGTAAAGACATTTAGAATGTTACAAAAGATTCCTATTTCAAATAAATGCTGTTCTTTTGAACTTTCTATTCATCTGTGAATCCTGAAAAATAAAATGTATCAGTTTCCACAAAAATATCGGGCAGCACAACTGTTTTCAACATTGATAATAATCAGAAATGTTTCTTGAGCAGCAAATCAGTATATTAGACTGATTTCTGAAGATCATGTGACACTGAAGACTGGAGTAATGATGCTGAAAATACAGCTGCGCATCACAGAAATAAATTACAGTTTAACAGATATTCACATAGTGAACAGCTGTTTTAAATTACAATAATATTTCACAATTTTTACTGTAATTTTGATCAAATAAATGCCGCCTTGGTGAGCAAAAAATACTTCTTTCATAAACATTAACTTACCGACCTCCAAACTCCAAATTGAACAGAATAGAGTATATTTCATAAAGCTGTGAAAATATGAGTGAAATGATCAATTAAGCTGTTCTTAACAATTTAGAGCTTTCATTAATTGGGTAGACCAGGGCTAGTTGTCACATTTTTAATTTTATCATTTACTTACTAAAAATAAATTATTATTATTATTTTTTTTTTTTATCATTTACTGTATTTGTTGTTTTTTTTTGTTATAATTTATTTTTACAGTGTGTGTGAGTATGTACATAAGTGGCTGTTTATGTATACACATGCACATATTTTCTACTTCTTAATTATCTTATGGAAATTAATGGATGTAATCCCAGGGATTTGTTGAAAAAATCTAGATCTCAAAAATCAGGTTTTGTGTCCCAAACAAGTTTTTTTGTAAATTCATTTAAAAAAGGAACCCTTTCTGGAGAAAAGTAACAACAACAACAAACGTGACAACTAGCCCCGGTCTTCCCTGTATGTATTTAGCAGATGCTTCCTTACTATTAGTATTATTTATTTTTGATCTGCATTTATGTGGTGTGCTGCTAGTCTAAAAGAACTGGAGCTACTGAATGAACGCCGTCTGGGTGAGAAGTATCTGTGAAATGTTGAGTAAGAACTGAACATTCATTGTTCTTGAAGCTTTCGTGCCGTCTGCAGCATGCACCTGAGCATTAACATCAGACGCTAAAAGCACGTGGCTGACATCTGAGCTGGGAAAGGTCACACGGAGACGACATTTCCACTCCTGAGAAACCTGAAATACTGTCTCTCCCTCCTAACAGAAGCTTTAATGAGAGCAGACAGCTGAAAGCTCTTCGGCTGCGCAGTCGGGACACACTGTCAGTCCATCTCACCTCCTAATCGCAGTGAAATCAGCCATGAAGGAGAGAGAGAGAGACGCTTCAGTCGATGCTTGAAAGATGTCGCTCATGATGCAACTGTTGCCACTGGAAAGATATCAGAGGAACTGCAGACATATTACCACCAAACAATCCTGTAATGTGTTACTTAATAAAGAGAGCTGGCTTTGGTTTTCAGCTCATGCTCTGTTATATTTCTCTTACAGTTGGTGTACAGGAGAATTCACAGTCAAATTCAGGTCAGATTTGTTGATCTGTAGATTTAATGCAAGCCCAGCATCATTCACAAGGAGTCACAGCGTCCTCTAGTGCTCGTCTCTGAACGACTCTCTTGCTCTGTGCAACAGTGAATTTTACACACATTAATAGTATTACAGTTATGCAACAGATGCATTATACACATACAAAAGAAAGAATCGTTAATAACGTATCTGGCTTGATGTGTCCTGTACTGTTTTCTCTGAAATTATGAGCTAAAGTCATTGCTCAGTGAGGGGTTTACAGTTAACAAACATGAAAATCTCAACTTTTTCATACTTTCAACTATTTGATTGAGAAGGATAAATGTTTTACAAAGAAAAGCCAATGTCACAGAATTCATCAAATACATTGAACAATGCTGTGTTCCTTCCTGAACGGGGATGAACTGGAAATGTACAGTATTTAATTATCATGAAAATAGTGCAAAAAAAATCATAATAGTCCTAAAACAAGCTTCATCTTTATTGTGCAAAATAGAATATCTATTAAGATATTTTCGGTGAGACTCTCACCTCACTAAATTATTTTTTATTTTTTTATTTAATTCTGAATTATTCCATAAATTCATCAAAGGCTATTTACTTGGCAGCCTCAGAATATTACCAATTAAAATAATCATTAAAATAAAGAAAATCATAATTTAACAATTTCTTTCTTGCAATACAATATATATATATATATATATATAATTACCGATGTTTGTGCTGCCGTTTTCCTTCCAAAATGATGTCACTTCCTGAAGTAGGATGAAGTTAAGAGGAAATGAAAATAATGTTGCAAAAAACTAAAAAACTAAAAAAACAATATGATAATACTTTTAAAACAGGCTTTATGTTCTGCAAAATAGATTTTTATTTTTTTTACTTTTAAATTTGTAGCAAAATATGACATGCACATGATATTGATAGTTTTTTTTTTTATTAACTCTTGGACTTAAATATTTATAAATATGTGAGCGTGTGTGTGTGTGTGAGAATGTGAGTGTGTGTGTGTGTGCGCGTGTATGTGCGTGAGCACATGCTCCAGCGCTCTCACACCGCCGTCCTCTCCGTCTGCTCCTCCTCGGGTCTCCTGCTCACATCTATGCAGGTAAGCCGTGCTGTTACCGGGGTCAAAGGTGAAGTCCAGTGGCTGGATGAGCTGTTTGTGCTTCTGATGTGTGTGTGACGGACTCTGTGGATATTTAAGGACCATTATTATTCGTACACTCAAGAAATAGCATGAAGTAAAAATGCTCTGGAAATAGCATAAAGTAAAAAGTCATTTGCAGTGTTTTTTGACATAAAATGACTGACTGTAATGTTCCTGCACTGTTTGACTAATGAATGTAAATGACTTTTCCTGCTGTTTGTGATTACTGGATTTTTACAAATTATTCTAGAGATACAAGACCGATTTCTATCCGATTAAATATTTTAGAGTACAGCATAATAATAATAAAAAATAATAATAATTCAGGCCTGTGAATCACAATTTTTACATTTAAATCTTTTGTTTTAAAATGTGATTTACAGGTCTGGAAAATATTTTACAATTATGCACTACTCTAAAACATTTCATCTGAATATTTTCACAGTACTAAAATGTAAATATTTTAAAACAAAAGATTTAAAATTTAAAATGATAATTTACAGGTCTGGAGAATTTTTAAAAAATTATGCTGTGCTCTAAAATATTTACCATAGATATTTTTGCATAATGCATGAAGCTTAAACACTTGCATTACACTTGTTGCATTTGATCATTTGGGTTTAAAACTTTGCAAGACGATTACAAGACAAAATGTAAATTGAAATGCAACAGTGTGTTTCCTTCATGGGTGTCTGTGTTTTATTGTCTCAGGTGTTTAATGTGATATTAACTGCGGTGTGACTGTGCTGAAGCTCTGAAAGGATCAAGTATTTTTAACTTTGTGCCTGTCTTGCGATATTAACCTCTGCTGTTTGAGAAGTTTTAGCACACATCTGGATTTCTCTAGAGATTTATGTGGCCTCCAGCTTTTGAAATACACCTTGTTTCTCAGGTGAGCTATGGACGAAAGCACCTTTGAGACATTTGAGGAAGAGCTTGGCAAACCACTGCAAGACGTTCCTCCACAGAAACCTATCAGACAAGCGCGAACAGGAGGCAGAGCAGGTACAAATGAGCATGTTTCTACACTGTATTTCTGTTTCTAACATGAATATAAAAGCCTCAGGAGTCAAGATGTCTTAAGAAACAAAGCGTTCTTTCTAAATTAAGATCAGGCTGAAAGCATCCACACTATTTGTGGTGTTAAGTCTAATAATACATCACAATAACCTTGACAGACACGAGCAACATGACACCGAACACCGAACACAGCACGAACGGACACCAGCTCTCTCTACAGCCACAGATTATAAAGTGACTTGCATTTTTTACTTTCAAAACATTATTTGAACAATCTTACTGTAAAAGTGCATGCAATGTCTTGTTGCATATAGGTTTTTACTGTAAATAATAAGGCAATTCATTCTTACTTTTTTTATAGCATTGCACTGTACAATAAAATCACATGCATTGTTTGTTAAATCTAATGTTATTTTTCACTGCTTAAAGATAATCGATTAAGAGGTTAACTTGCATTTTTATTAATAAAAAATGACTGATTTTTGCCATTTTTAGAAGTTTTTTTTTTTTTTTTAAATATATGTCTATATGTATTTTGATTTTGTATTTTGATTTGTTTTAGTTATTTCAGTACATTAAGTTAAACTAAATTAAAGTGAGAAATGTTGCCTTGGCAACTATATATATATTTTTTTTATTTCAGTTAGCATTTACTTTATTTCAAGTAACGAAAATGTTTTTTGTATGCTTTTAATTTTGGTTTCAAAAATAATAACCCTGTGAGACACAAGTAAATAAATAAATAAACTATATATAAAAAAAACACTAAAAACAAAAAAAATTATAATTATTATTTTTGATAAATCTAAAACTAAATCTGATCCCACTTCATTAAAAATCCAACTAAAAGAATCGAATTAAAAGTAAGGAAAGTTCTCTAAAGTTATAGATCATCACTAACATGATCAAAAATTATAACTTTAACAATATTACTGCAGAAATGCATGCAATTTCCCCAAAGTAAATGGGTTTTTACAGTTAATCATAAAGCAAATAATTTTTATACTATTGCATTGTACAACATCAAACTCGTGCTCATCCGCACTCTTTCAATCTATTCTTGACCTCTCTTTGTTGTTTAATTTTAGACCATCAGTATTCACTTGGGTCAAACAAATGCAAGATAACTCGTGACCAAAAACAACCTGTAAAAATAAGAAGTAAATGTACTTCCCAACAGTAACTGTGTGTACTAAACCACATCAGACCAGATCCGTCAGACCAGTAATTATCTTAGGCTGGTTTCATTAGCAAAGATGTCAGTGGTGTTATGATGTAACTCAAATTATAATAGCTTCTTCATCCTGAATCAATTTAATTTAATTTAATTTCCATCTGAAGCCCTATCCTAAAATTTAACAGACAGCTATATGATTTTTTACGCACAAAGATCAAATTTAAACAGCGAAAAAATAACATTATAAACATGTAAAATATTATTTGGAAAATATTAAGTTTCTAACATTATAATTTTTTCATACTAGCTATAGTACTGTAAGATGCATTAAATAATTTTTTTTTTATTTAGCTAAATATATGTTATTTATACAAATTTTAATTGAAGTTTTTAGTAAGTCTGATAATTAACGGAAATGAAGATCAGTGTTTGTAATAAAAAGACATGGTGATGGTACAAAATAAATAAATAAATAAAAAATAATAATAAAGAAAGAAATTGCGATGGGAGGAAAAACTTCATTCCTGTTCGTTTGCGAGAGAACGCAAAAAGCATTGAAAACGACTTTTCCTCCCATCTAATTTTTTTCACTTGCAAACATTTTTGTAATTGAAATAATATGATGTGGGAGGAACAACTATATTTCCAGTGATTTTGCGAGTGCACACAAAGTTTCTCGGTACCGCGATAATTTTGCAAGAGAACACAAATGTTTTACGAGCGAAAGCAAAGTTTCTCGTTGGGACGTAATAGTTTTGCAATAGAACGCAAAAGTTTTGAAAGTGAATGAAAATATTCTTGCAATAGTTTTGCGAGCTAACGCTTCGTAAAGTTTTGAGAGTGAATGAAAAGGTTCTGGTCGGAACGCAATAGTTTTGCAATAGAACGCAAACGTTTTGAAAGCAAATTAAAAAATTCTCGTCAGAACGTTTTGAAAGTGAACGAAAAAATTCTTATAATAGTTTTGCGAGCGAACGCTTCGTAAAGTTTTGAAAGTGAATGAAAAGGTTCTGGTGGGAACGCAATCGTTTTACGAAAGAATGCAAAAGTTTCGAAAGCGAACGAAAAAAGTCTTAATAGTTTTGCGAGCGAACGCTTCGTAAAGTTTTGAAAGTGAATGAAAAGGTTCTGGTGGGAACGCAATCGTTTTACGAAAGAATGCAAAAGTTTCGAAAGCGAACGAAAAAAGTCTTAATAGTTTTGCGAGCGAACGCTTCGTAAAGTTTTGAAAGTGAATGAAAAGGTTCTGGTGGGAACGCAATCGTTTTACGAGAGAATGCAAAAGTTTCGAAAGCGAACGAAAAAATTCTTAATAGTTTTGCGACCGAACGCTTCGTAAAGTTTTGAAAGTGAATGAAAAGGTTCTGGTGGGAACGCAATCGTTTTACGAAAGAATGCAAAAGTTTCGAAAGTGAACGAAAAAATTCTTAATAATTTTGCGAGCGAACGCTTCGTAAAGTTTTGAAAGTGAATGAAAAGGTTCTGGTGGGAACGCAATCGTTTTACGAGAGAATGCAAAAGTTTCGAAAGCGAACAAAAAAATTCTTAATAGTTTTGCGAGCGAACGCTTCGTAAAGTTTTGAAAGTGAATGAAAAGGTTCTGGTGGGAACGCAATCGTTTTACGAGAGAATGCAAAAGTTTCGAAAGCGAACAAAAAAATTCTTAATAGTTTTGCGAGTGAACGCAAACGCATCTAGGTATAATTTTTCCTTCCATCTCATATTTGTTTTCCATCACCATGTCTAAACCTACATTTAGATTAAAACGTGTTACAGCTGAACGACCCACATGTGTTTTATCGTCTGTCCTGCAGCGTCGTTACGCAAAGCGCTGTCCATCCAGAATCTGACGCAGATCGAGACGCCGTGGGAGGGCGTGACGCTGAACAGGTGTCTGATCGCAGCCATAACCATCCTGCTGCTGAGCTCCGGTTTACAAAGAATACACGGCAAGTGTGTTTATGCCAAATACAGGCCCAAACACTCATAACATCTAAAAACATCAAACTCTAAAATGACTGACAGATGTTTTCTCCTCGCGCAGAGGCCGTAAGGAGGTCAGTGAAGAGCTCATAGCACTAAACGACAGACACGCTCTGATTAAAAGGGGGAAAATAACACCGCATGAGGTAAGGACAAAAACAAACACAAGGCCTATAAAGCTAAATATGTCGCTTTGGCTAATAAAGTGTTGTTTTTCTTTGTAAAGACGTGCTCGACTGACGTTTTTGACCGTTGCATTCGTGCCTTGCGCATGAAAGCGTGCGTGCAGCTCAAGTTAAAAATGCTTAATTCTGATTGGTCAACCGGGTAACTGAAACCGGCGCTACTTTCATGCGTCTCGTATCACTCCGCGAACTCGCGATTTTTTTTTCTTTTACACAATTAGCGCCACCGTGCATCTCAGTTATTTAACTGCTTAACTGTCACCCCCGATTTTTTAAAATAGGCATGAAAGTGCACTATCCAAACTTAAATTGTTGTAATTTATTAACACTTTGGAATACAGACCTAAGGTTGGTCTCTTTTTAAAGAAGAAAATCTGCAGATTATTGCAAATGTAAAAAAATTAAAGTATCAAAAAGTTATAGAAGTTTAAATGTACTGTAATTAAAATGCACTATATTAATTTTATTTTATTTTATTTATTATAAATATCTATTACATAACAGGTTTTACTCTAAAATTGGTTTAAAATTAAAGCCTTATGTCTAAATAAGTTATGTTCCAAATTTGAAGTTGATATGAAAAAAAATTGAGGTTCCGGTGAGATTTTATTTAGGGTGTCATACCACAAACAGCCACCAGGTGCCATCCAAACTCCATTACATTTCTTTTATGCATTTTTCTCTCACAAATGTCTAGATTTCTCTGTCAATATTACTTCTATCTCAAAATATGGAATCCTGAGACTCAGATCTTTCCAATTATATGTTTTTCGTCAAGATTATAAAAAGTTTTGATTGTAAAAGAGCGTAATGTATTTTGTAATATGACACTTGACACCGCCCACTAAGGGGGAGGAGACCGCCAAAAGATTTTAAAGTACCATTTCTATGGTAACGCAATGTCCGATTTCAAAATGGTTTTCCCAGGATGAATCTTGGGCTTCTACGCTTTCAAATTATATATACTTTATGATTATTACTAAAAGATTTGATAGAGAAAAAGGACAAGAAAAAAAAGAGCGCCAAGCGTCCCACAGCTGCGACGGTGACAGTTAAGGGGTTAATAACGTAGTGAAAATGAACTCAGAATACTTGGTATTAATATTGTTTTTAATATTGTACATTGCGATGGACTACTTTTCTTAGCGGCGGAAGCTTCACGATAATGTACAGATAAAATTATTTTTCAAAAATCCATTCAAATCAATATTTTATGTTAATATGAGCAACAGTGTAATAAGAAGAATAATGCACAGTTAGCCTATCATTAAAAATTATTATCCACAGGGACACTATGGAAATAGTCAGGCACGAAAAACATGTTATTGCACATATCTGTATGTAAAAATAATAATCATTCTCATCTGAATTAATACTCTTAGCTGGACACTTCCTTATGGGACACATTGTTCTGGTGGATTGATGATGATGATGATGATGATGAAGGCAAATCCAAGAGAGCGAGTCGCGGGAGAGTTTCCAGGGGCCTCAGACACCGGGCCCTTCCAGACCTCAGGCTCCTGAAGAAAAGAGAGACAAAATTCACTGAGCGCAGAAGAAGAGGACGACGAGAAGTAGATGAGACTAAAGAGAGGCTGACAAAAGAGAAAGAGATGAAAGTCAAGGAAGTGGAAGAAGAAGAGGAGGAGGACATAGAGATGAAGAAACCAGCGAAAGAGAGCAAGCAAAAACCTGTGAAGAGAGAGAGAATCAGTGATGCACAGATAACGAGTGCATAAAGAAAACAGGGAGTGCTTAATTGTCTTGAAAAAAATCTTAATGGTCCTAACAGGGATTCGATTTCTTTAGCAAAATGTGTTTTCTTTTGATTATAGGGTGAAATATGTTCTTGACAGGTTTGCAATATCCCGATGCACTTCTCCCTATGATAAAAAGGTATTATTTGGTGCTTTTTTGTTTTGTAAAATCTGTATGCTTTTGAGACTTTATGGTCATTTAAGTCATAAACCCCTTGAGATTTTTACAGGACTTTTTGCAATTATGACTGCAAGCTCAACTCACAAACCTCATGAAGAGGTTACAATAACAAGAATTAGTTTATTAGTACTTCAGTGCCGGTTTCTTTTTAAGATGGTTAAAGTAATATTTAAGACAAAGCTGTAAAAGTAATGCAATGCAAAAATAAAGTTTTTAATTTTTTTTAAATTTATGTAAATAGTGTTTTCTTGGGTTCTTTTTAGTTGCTTAAAGGAATAGTTCAACCAAAAATGAAAATTTGCTGAAAATATGCTCACCCTCAGGACATCCAAGATTAGGATGAGTGTGTTTCTTCATCAGATTTGTAGAAATGTAGCATTGCATCAGTGTCTCAGCAATGAATGCTCTGCAGTGAATGGGTGGCGTCAGAATGAGAGTCCAAACAGCTGATAAATCCATAATCCATAATAACGCTTCCTCCAGTGAAAAGGTGTTCTGGTGTGAATCAGGAGAGAAATCTGCACAGATCAAGCACTGTTTAAACAGCTCTAAACTAATATGTGGCTGGATTTTGATGTGAGAGACAACAGCAGATGCACTTTTTCACTGCAGGAAGCGTTATTATGGATTATGGACTCGTGTTTTAGCCGGAAGCAACGATTCAAAGTTAAAAATGTCTCGATGGATTTGTTTCTTCAAAAAAAAACATCACAATAATCCACAAGACTTGTTTCTTACAAACATGCAGCTTTTGGCTTCAAAACTAATTTCAAAGCAAATTTTGCTTAATCAAAACTAAAAGGAGCCTGAAAAACCCATGAGCTCCCAACACCTTATCAAGCAAATTTTTTGTAAAAGAACAAAAATTAACCATTATGATTTAGTAATAATTTTTGTAATGCACAGAATTACCAACTACATATATATGTGTGTGTATGTGTTTATTATAAAAGCTTTATCCGTGCACATCAATTTTTTCTCTTTAATTTATGTGCCCTCAAAATATAATTCTAACACATCTTTTCTCATTCAAGAAATCATTTCATTCAGATGTTACAGTATACAAGAAAAGACCAACACCACTTCAATATCATGTCAAGTTTTTTTAATAATAAAAAAAGCATAAAAATAACATTTGGACATTGTTTGGTAGAGATGCTGCGGTTCACAACTGTCAACTCACTACATATTTAGAGGGCTGTGCACATGAAATTAAAGGGGGAAACAAAAATAAACGTGTCCATTTATGTCTAGAATGATACATCGTTAACACTTGAAGCCTTTATATATAATGCATGATTTAAAAAAATATTCATAATGTGCCTTATAATGCATTATATAATTGTAACCAAAGTTAAAAATGCATTATAACATTTGTTTGTTTTAATGCATTATACTTTCTAAAGATGTTACAATGAATGCATAATTATTCATGAGATCATATAATGCATTATAAGGTGCATTACAAGGCAAAATTGATGCATTATCAATTTACAATGCATTATATGTAAAAGCTTTAAGTAAAGTCATTAAGGCTATCCATCCATGGGGAGCGGCGGCCTCATGTGAGGAGGCAGGGCTCCTGGAGGGGGCATATGTGGGGGCATGGGGGCTCCGGGGGGCATCCCATGCATTCCTCCAGGCGGCGGGGGTGGCATGGAGTCACTGTGTGGATGTGGACCGAGTCCAGTGATCAGTGAAGGAGGACGCTTCATGCCGAGCGACGGCACCTGACCCGGTGGAGCGATCAGAGCTTTCTCCATCTTAAAGTGAAACTGCAGGAAAAACTGGAGGAGAACGAGAGCTTGCATTCAGCACATAGAGAAGGAGCACATATGTAACCCTGGAGCACAAAAGCAGTCTTAAGTCGCTGGGGTTCCATGAAGATATTTTGTAAATTTCCTACTGTAAATATATCAAAACTTAATTTTTGATTAGTAATATGCATTGCTAAGAACTTCATTTGGACAACTTTAAAGATGATTTTCTCAATATTTAGATTTTTTTGCACCCTCAGATTCCAGATTTTCAAATAGTGTCCTATCATAACAAACCACACATCAATGGAAAGCTTATTTATTCAGCTTTGAGATGGTGTATGAATCTCAATTTCAAAATATTGACCCTTATGACTGGTTTTGTGGTCCAGGGTCACAAATGATTTAATCCATCCGTTCTCACCTGTTTCGTTTCCCTGTTCCAGTGTGTCCAAAAACGAGTCTCTGCTTTGTCGATCTCTCGACTGGGAACCTGAAAATATAAGCAAAACAATGATAAAGCCTGTGATAGTAAAAGCCTGACGTATTAACTGTTTATTGAACCTTTAGACAAAATGTTTTTTAAAAAATATTAAAAGTTTGCATGAGTGTTTTATGTTTTGTATCCTATTTGATCAGCTCATATAGTGAAAAAATGCAGCTCAATCTTCAAAACCAGTCAAGATTTGACTCGTGAAGCTCCAGCTACAGTTACACTAAAAGAGCTTTGACTGGATAAAACACTCTAAACGATCGATCAGACGACAGAAGGAGTAGATTGAGTGTGAAACAGGTTTAACAGCATGTCATTTCACAATCCTTCCTTGTTTCAAGTATGAGACAGTTAGACAGACCTTGAACGCGATGGTTTCATACGGCTCGGCTGCAAACAGCAGATACTGCCAGCGACGGTCCGGAGGTTCGATCCTCTGCTCATACGCTGACATGAAGCGATGCCTCGGCCCGATACCTTCTGCTATCTCTGGGTAATCAATCTGAAAAACAAGGCCATCGTTTATTATGGCAATGCAGGGATGCATAGGGGTGTGCGATATTGACAAGACATGATATCTCGATATTTTCTTGAATTTTATCGATAACGATAATTAGACGATATTTTGCAGAGTGTGTTATTGTGCTTGTATCTTAAGGACTGCCGTGGACAGCTGACTCCTAAAGTTTTTGATATTCTTCATATTCTGTGTGGCGGTCAGTTCACAGCAGTGATAGAAATTTATCTTTTCCAATACGTTTAAATTGATTTTTACCTTTTATGGGCATTTTTATCTTTATAAAGCCATTTTTCTAAAAGCGTCCATTATCTTTCGAGTCAAATTCTTACATTTAATCAGTGAATTCGAATATTAAGACATTTGGGCTGTTACCAAGCAAATGAAATCAGTATTAAAATTAATCTTTGCAATGCAGAGGAAACACAGAAGCTGCGTCTGAAGTGGCATTTAGATGTATTTACACATTGTTTAATGCAGGACATGAATGCATTTAACCTGCAATTACAAATGCATGAATAATGTTTTGATATATTAAACATAAAACGTTGAATACTG